AAAGTGAGGTTCTTACCCACGAAAGCTTATGCTCCCACTACTTCTGTTAGTCTTAAAAGGTGCCCCAGGACCCTCTGTTGCTTTTTACAGATTCAGACTAACACGGCTACCCCTCTGATACTTGAACCCTCTTAGACTCTCTCCAATCCAGCTTCTGCCCAACAGCCACTCAATGCTCTCATAGAATCATAGAACTGGAAGGGATCTCAAGAGATCTAGTCCAGTCCCCCTGCACTCAAGGCAGCACTAAGTATTATCTAGACCAGTGAGTCTCAAACTTTTATCCTGGTGACCTCTTTCACATCGCAACCTCTGAGTGTGACCCCCCTAATAAATTAAACACACTTTTTAATGTATTTAACACCATTATAAATGCTGGAGGCAAGCGGGGTTTGAGGTGGAGGTTGCCAGCTCACAACCCCCGAGGGGTCCCAACCCGCAGTTTGAGAACCCCTGATCTAGACCATCCCTAACAGGTGTTTGTCCAACCTGTTCTTAAAAAATCCCCAATGATGGAGATTCCACAACCTTGCTAGGCAATTTATTCCAGTGCTTAACCAGCTTGACAGGACATTTTTCCTAATGTCCAACCTAAACCGCCCTTGCTGCAATTTTAAGTCCATTGCTTCTCGTCCTATCCTCAGAGGATAAGAACAATTTTTCTCCCTCCTCCTTGTAACCACCTTTTATGTACTTGAAAAGGTATGTCCCCTCTCAGTCTTCTCTTCTCCAGCCTAAACAAACCCAATTTTTTCAATCTTCCCTCACAGGTCATGTTTTCTAGACCTTTAAACATTTTTGCTGCTCTTCTCTGGACTTTCTCTAATTTGTCCACATCTTTGCTGAAATGTGGCGCTCAGAACTGGACACAATACTCCAGTTGAGGTCTAATCAGCACGGAGTAGAGCCGAAGAATTACTTCTCGTGTCTTGTTTACAATACTCCTGCTAATACATCCCAGAATATTTGCTTTTTTTGCAACAGCGTTACACTGTTGGCTCATATTTAGCTTGTGATCCAGCATGACCACCAGATCCCTTTTTGTAGTACTCTTCTCATTATCTTGTCTTCCCTTGGCTCCTCCCTCTCTAATCATTCCTTCAGCAGGTTTGGAGGATTCGCCTCATCCCCCTCAGCTTTCTATGGTGGTTCCTAAGGCAACATTCTTGGTCCCCCTCTCTTCCTGCTCCACACAATCTCATCCACAAGTACCACTTCTATATGGATGATTCACAGACCTGCCTTTCTACACCAGAGGGGTCTTCTGTCCAAATTAACATCTCAGCATGTGTCCAAGATCTCATGGGTGTCCAGCAATGCCTAAGCTCAGGGTGAACAAGACCAACCTCATCATCACTATGGATACGTTCGTCACTCAAGCCCATAACCTGGGTATCATCTTCAGCTCAGCCCTCCCTAGTGCCTCACATTCTGCAGATTCCTGCTACGTAAGAACTTTCCTCTATCCACTCAGCAAAATTCTCATCCATTCAAAATGCTGCTATACAAGTCATTGTCCTAGCTTGTTGCTTTGACTGTCACCTCTGCATCCTTCCACTGGGTCCCCGTTTTCCCTCCCATCAAACAGAAACTACTTGCCTTCACTTCCATGGCCACTCTCAGCCTCTCTCTCTGGCCATCATCTCATACACTATGGCGATGGCAGCTCCCACCTCTCCTTGCCTAATGATGGCAGCCTTTCATCACCCATTTGTCAGAATTTCAGCCAAACCCTGCTCCCCACCCACCATGCTGCCCATCCTGCTTGGGAGGGGCACCTCAGTCTTTCCTTTGTTTACAAAACCTTGGCAGTGGCCAAGCAGCTACTATGCTACATCCATTGTCTCACGTTACCCAGTAGTGCCTTATTGCTTCCTCTTTTCTGTATTGACCGTGTCTCGTTTCATACTTAGCTTGTTAGGACAGGGACTGTCTTTGTTGTGCGTCTATACAGCACCTTGCACAATGGAGTACTAGGTCAAGACTGAGGTTTGGGGTGCTACTGCAATACAATAGAACTTTCAGCCACCATAGCTTTATTGTAAAAAATATATAAAGTCTTTATTTAAAAAGATGCGTTCAAATATGAACCAGTGAACACAGCTACACAGCAGCTCTGCGACTCGCCACGGAGACATCGTCTGGGCTTCCAGCTAGATAAGAGAAAGTATTGCAAGGAAGTGAGAGAACACATGAGTAGAGAGCAGACATTACCGCAAGTCATTTGGGATCCCTACTTGGTCTGCTTCTTGCGTGGGCTTCTAAATTGCTTCACACTAGACAAAGCCACATCCCTTATTCCTGTTTGAGGGCTGAAATCTACCCCAGGCCCAACCGAGGTAGTTTTCCCAACAAAGAGCTATGAAGAGAAGACACCAGGCATTAACAGCCATCATGAACAGAGTGGCCTACAATGAGAAACCCCCCACAGATCTCACCTTTTAAAGCAGCCACTGCAGACGTACATGGAGTCCTCTAGTTTAGAGGGCAGGCTTAGCACTGGGCATTTCCTCCTATAAAAGTGAAGGCACACATTAGGCACACAAAAGTGAAGGCACACATCCAGCATAGCTGCTCCCCAGGACATTTAAAAGCTACCCTGCATGACCACCCCATTGCAATTTAAAGAGTTAATTGCTGGCCAATTTGAGTGCCCTCTGAAAGGCACTGACAGTGCACTAAGGCAGTTTACAGAATCTGGACTGCAGTGCTAAGCAAGTGGGTAAACATTAAGCAGCTCCAATAATAATGGCAATAGAATGAGAGGCAGTGACTTGAGAATGAGCGTGCCACAAATAGGTTGGCGAGCGTTACTTTCAGGCCAGTGACCAAGTAATTTAAAGTGGCTATATTCCTGCCATCTGGTGATTGTTCTTACTCCACCGG